CGGCCTCCCCCGGGGCCTCCCAGCACGTAGTTCGCTTCAGGCCGGCCCCACGAGACACGACCTTGAATCTGCTCTCCGTCCACACCACCGCTTGGGCGCATGCATCCAGCTCCAGAGACGCCAAGCGCACGTGAAGGCCAGGGAGCCCGAAATGTGAACCTGCAGCCCGGCGCCTTCTCGGAACGTCAGGCGGGTGGGGTGGGGTGGGTGCGGTCAGGGCCGCAGCCTGACCACCCTGCAGCCAGGCTGCTTCCACACTCGTCATCCACCCAGTTGCCGGAGACTCGCCCCTCCGCACAACACCCTGTAAGCCACCCAGCCTTGGTGGCGAGTCCTGCGCACTTTTCCTGGTGTTGCGCGCACGCACCTTGGTTGAGGCTCATGTCAGTCAGTTTTCCATAGCTGTGACAAATTCTGAAGACAGTCGATTTATAAAGATCAGAGGTCTCAGTCAGTGGTCAGTTGACCCTGTGGTGAGGACCACAGTCCCTACTGAAGGGATGTTCCAGAGACCTAAACCCTCCGTTTATATAATCCTCACAGAGGTGTTATCTCTTTCCTATAAAACAAAACAGAACCCTGAGACTAGTTTATTGCCAACATGGGATTCCCGCAAAGTATGCTCATTTACCTTTGTGCTCAGCGTGACTTCCTGACACATCACATAGTTCTGACACACGACGTGTGAACGTCCAGTACATACAAGATCGATGTTAACTGCTAGGTGTTCTAATACAATTTCATTGAAATATGATTTGCCACCACTTGGAGGAAGCAGAGAGGCTGGCCTTCCAGTCCTGAAGGCAAGAGTTTGCTGTGTCCATGAATTCAAAACTAAACGCATGCAATTGTTAAATGTCAAACCCACAAAACCAATGTATAACCATCCAAAGGTTGGAACTTGATACTTCTCACCTTGCAACTCTTGAAGAAGTGTGTGTCTGCCTGTCTATCTGAAAGAGGAGAGAGAAAAATGTGTTTCACTGATGGATTTTTTTTTTTTTGAGACAGGACCTCAATATGCAATTCTGACTGGCCTGAAACTCACAGTGTAGATGAGGCTGGCCTGAAACTCACAGTGTAGACCAAGCTGGCCTCAGATTCAGAGATGACCCACCCCCCTTCCACTTGCAGAGTGCTGGGTTTAAAGGTGTGCTGCACTATGCCTGGCTCACTTGTAGATTTTAGAGTTGGGCCTTAGAAGTCATTGAAAAATCAGCTAATTTCTTGCCTTAGCAACTTTGTTATTGTTTAGAGTCCTCGAAATTCTGTATCAAAAATTAGATACAATATTAGAAGATACTGTGTTTGGAACAGCTTTCTTTAAAATCCTAACCTCCTCACCTGACCCTCCTCACCTGTTCAGTGCCATGTATCAGCTAAAGGAAGAGCTTTTCTGGCCATTCACTGTCCTCTGCCTCATTTACTAAAGGGTTGCTTTAAAAGTTCTTTATAAATTAGGGAAATTAGTTGTCATTTATTTGTCATCAGTTTTATTGATCGTTTCCATTTCAGCCTAGGCTTTATGCCTTGCCAAATCTTGTGGGGGTTTTGTTTGGTTGGTTGGTTTTGGTTTTTCAAGACAGGGTTTCTCTGTGTAATGGTTCTGGCTGTCCTGGAACTCATTTTATAGACCAGGCTGCCCTCAAACTCACAGAGATCTGCCTCCTGAGTGCTGGGTTAAAGGTGTGTACCACCATCACCCAGCCAAAATCTTGTGTTTTCATTTAAGATGTTTTTCTTAACATGTATATGTTAAACCCATCAAGTAATTATTTTAGGGTAAGGAATGCAGTAAGAATTCACTTTGGAGAGATGGTTCACAGGTTGAGCACTGACTGCTCTTCCAGAGGTCCTGAGTTCAATTCCCAGCAACCACATGGTGGCTCACAACCATCTGTGATGAGATCTGGTGCCCTCTTCTGGCCTGTAGGGACACATGTAGGCAAAACACTGTGTATACATAATAAATATTTTTAAAAAAGAATTCACTTGGGATTTGTAGATAACATCTAGCCCGTGGTGGACTTTTTTTTGTTTTGTTTTTCGAGACAGGGTTTCTCTGTGTAGCTTTGGAGCCTATCCTGGCACTCACTCTGTAGAGCAGGCTGGCCTTGAACTCACAGAGATCCACCTGCCCCTGCCTCCCGAGTGCTAGGATTAAAGGAGCGCGCCACCAACGCCCGGCCCCCCGTGGTGGACTTCTTGTCACTTTGTCCACAGTTACTTATTGCTCCCATGACCTTGCCTGCAAGGGCCTATGATACAGGGATCTGAAGAAAGGGCATGACAGTTAACCTCACCATAGGATAATGTGAGGAAGAAATATAGTCATTACCATTTAAACTATACGTATGAATTAGTAGTCACTTCAGTATACAGTATTCAGATTTTTCTCACAGGGTCATAGGTGAATCCCAAGAACTGGGGGAGCAGGGAGGAGCTATGGTCGTAATTCTAATGGTCAGAAAGCTTGTAAGTCATGAAACCCACTGAGAAGAACCATATGTAATAATCACTGCTTTTAAAATAACACCAAGACCCTACCAGTCATGCCAAGAGGCCTTTTCTTTGACATTGTCATTTATATTAACACATAATAGCCTTTTGTTGAACACCAGAAAAAACGAGCCGGCAGCTAAAATACAGGCTCTTGTATGACTCTTGCAGATCTTACTTCCACACAGCTGTCTGATGGCACAGCCAGGCATTTCCCAGTCAGTGCCATGTTCCTGACCAAGCAACTTAGAGAGAGGATTGTTGTGGCTCACAGTCTGAGGGAAATCATTGTTGGGGAAGGTATGGCAGCAGGAGCATGAAGCCCTGCCTGGTCACATCACATCCAGTCAGGAAGCAGAGAGAGTGAGTTCTAGTGTTCAACTCACTTTCTCCTTTTTACCCACCAAAGCCCTAACTTGTGCGGATGGTGCCGCCCACTCTAGGGCAGGTCTTTCTACCTCAGTGAACCTATGTAAAAGAACCCTCACCAGTCATGCCCAGCTAGGTGTCAGCTACGTGACTCTAGATCCTGTCAAGTTGACAGTCACAAATAATTGCAGTTGGGGACTAGGGAAATGGTTAAGAGCACTGGCTGCTCCAGAAAAGGACCTAGGTTCAATTCTCAGCACCCACATGGTGGTTCACAACCATCTGTAATCCAGTTCCAGGGGATCCAACTCCCTCTTCTCCAGGCAGCAGGTGTATGTGTGATGCAGGCAGAACACCCATACACAAAATAAATTTTAAAAAGAAGTGTAACTACAACTGCCAATAACTGATTTCTCTTTGGGGAATACAAGAGGCCCCAATGTATGATATATACAGTAATCTATAGTACAGACGAACATAGACAGTATCTTAGTTACTTTACTGTGGCTATGAAGAGACACCATGACCAAAGCAACTTATAAAAGAAAGCATTTAATTTTGGGGCTTACAGTTCCAGGGGACTAGAACCCAAGACCACCACAGTAAGGAGCATGTCCACAGACAGTCCTGCCACTGACACAGTAGCCGAGCTCTCACATCTCATCCAGAAGCCTGAGGCAGAGAAATCTCAAAGCCCACCTCAGTAAAGGCCACACCTCCAAGTCCTCCCCAAACAGTTCTGCCATCTGCAGACCAAGCATTCGCATAGGAGCCTGAAGATGAGCATTCTCGTTCAAGCCACCCCAGGTAGAGGATAGATGGATGCTATTCCTAGACAAATGTGTCTGTGAGACTAATGAGGCCGTCCTTCTGTGTGTGTTTCTCTTATTGGTTGATGAATAAAACACACTGTGTGGCCAATGAGGCCGCCACACCTAGGAGATGAGGAAAATTCTAAGAAAGGTAAGCAGAGAGGCAGTGAGGAGACAGCACGAAGGGACCTGGAGGATAGAACACACCAGGCGTTCTCTGGTAAGATAAGGCCATGTAGAAATATATAGAGTAGTAATTATGGGTTAATAATTAAGACAGAGCTAGCCAATAAGAAGCCCTAGCCATTCGACCAACAGTTTAATAATTAATCTAAGTCTTTGTGTGCTTCTTTGGGGCTGAAGCAGCGGTGGGACCTGGCAGGACAAGAAACTCTAACAACAGTAAGATTAACATTTCTCTTTTGTAATATTTTAGGGTTTCCTGAAATCGTCTTTATTTTCAAAAGAGACAAGAACATGTCCAAGGTCCTACCTTGGAAACGTGATAAGTCCTGTGGTAAAGAGTGCTCCGAATGAGGCATACGGGTCATCTCCAGATGAGTCTGAAAAAAGAGGAACAGGTATGCAGTAACTCCTCCTTAAATACTTCAGTGTGTGTGTGTTTAATCTGCCTTACTGCAAAATCAGGATTGAAAAAACAGTGTATAACCATAATTCATGTGTACACCTTGATCTAGAAGATTCCCCATAATAGACAGACACAATGCAAAGGTCTCCTGCTGTCATGAGTAGTGGCCCCTTTGGTCTGATGCAGTCCCTGAACAGATACCTTCGAGTCTCCATGGTAACAGCCGGTACCATTTGTTTTGTGTTCCTGAGTCACCACAGCAAAGAAGGCCGGGCACTGGGCAGCATTTACTGACTTGCTTATTTCAGCACCCTGAAGACAGTTTGCTCTTCTAACCCGCACCTAACAAGCACTAAACAAATACTCTCTGGATGTGCTGATTAGTGAAGCACCCTGGGGTCTGAGCCAGGACGTAATGTGCCATGTAATCAGAAATTCCCATGTGGAGACAGCATTAGTATTTGTTGGGAACTGTGAGATGCAGCCTAGTCATGTTAGTTCACAGACACTCTAGAACAGTTTGATAAGTTAAAAATGCACTCCTGCTCATATTAGTCATCACTGAATTTATAACAGGTCAATGATGAAACTGGAATCTAGCAGATTGTCAACTCCAGAGAGCAGGGCACATCTCCCTGCTGGCCACAGTGACCTGCAAGAGTCAAAACTCTCACTCTTTGGTTTACATTGCCAATGATGGGTCTTAACTCAGTCTGCCAGCACAGGTGAACCCAAACAGCCATGTTCAGCAACAGGTAGAAATTTCAGCACAGTTCTAGGGTCCTGGGAATTCCAGAATACCAATGTTCCACCTCTGTGGTGGGTGGTGTTTATGCTAAGTATGGGTACTCCTCTAACCAACAGTAGGCCTATGTTCATGTAAACTTAACACAAAATAGGTTTGGTGGGGGCTAGAGAGATGGCGTAGTGGTTCAGCGCACTGGCGGGTCTTGTAGAGGACGAACGTTTGATTTCAGCACCACAGCAGGTCACAGTTGCCTGTAACTGCAGTTCCAGGTGATCTGATGCCCACGTCTAGCCCCTGAGGGCACCAGGCACACACGTGGTGCACATACACATACCACATAAGCTTGGTGACCTGAGTTCAATCCCCCAAACCCACATAAAGATAGCAGAGAAGCGACACTGACCCCCACAGCAGCCAGGAGTGGTAGCACAGGCAGAAGCAAGTGGATCTCATCAAGTTCAAGGCCAGCCTGGTCTGTATACAGCAAGTTCTGAACAGCCAGAGCCACATAGAGACCCAGTCTCAAAAACGCAAAGACCAGGCTGGTCTTGAAATTAGAGATCCACCTGCTTCTGTCTCCCCAGCACTAGGATTAAAGCACATTTCACTATGCCTGGCTGCAATCCCCTTCTTTATCCCTGCTCCCTACTTCAAGGAAGGGATGTGATGATTTGTCAAAGAAATCACTTGTCTGTTTCTCCAAATCGGTTGGTAACAGATTCCAGTGATCCTCAGCAGCCAATAGTGGACAGTAAGGGTGTCCTATTAAAACAGCTAACAAGTGGCCACAATCCAGAACTAGACATCCAAGTCAAAAGCATTGATTATAAGGTTACCCAGTTTCTTCACTCGCCTAATAAGAGCCGTTAAGTCCTTCCCACAGCGCCTGGACATCACAAACAACAGCTGGTTGCTGCTCAGTCCATAAATGGGTGCCCAAGTTAAAATCCTAACATTCAAGCTGGCACACGCCTTTAGTCCCAGCACTTGGGAGACAAAGGCAGGCAGGTTGCAAGCCTGGTCTACAGAGTGAGTTCCAGGCCAGCCAGGGTAGTTACGCAGAGAAACCCTGTCTCAAAAGAGAAGAAGAAAAGGGAAGAGAACACCCCCAACATTATTAGCAAGCTTTGGGTTAATTTGGAGCATTCCTGGCCTCCTAGGCAGTACCTCACCACCCTGTGAAAACTCAGGCCCAGCTCAGGCTGAGCTCAAGGAGGGAGAAGCAGCGCTGCTTTCCTTGTGGCATCTCCGAGTGTCCAGTGGGATAGCCATGCCATGCCCTGTGTGAGAGTGGTTTCCCAGTGGACACTTTCTAGGCCTTTGGCAGGCAACCACATGACTCTCACTCCTAACGCCATCGCCATTGAGTCTGCGCCTCACACCAGCCAGGTGAGTGCTGGCCTCTTAGTGTGTCTGTGTCTGTGCTGCCCACTCTCTCCCTCCCTCCACTGTCTATTTCCGCTTTCCCTAGCACTCACCTTAGTTCCTTAAACAAACAGTAACTGGAAGGGAAAGTCCTGTCCACCACAGGATAAAGGACATATGTTTGTTTTTTCAAAGTAGCTGATACAGTATCAAATGTGAGAGATTGGATGTTTTCCTCCTAAAATTCACAACAAAACATGCAGTCTCACCATCCTCAGAGGTTCTGTCCTGTGCACCCAAGCAAGGAAAAGAAATACCCCCATACAATGAAAGAGCCCCATACAGTGAAAGAACGCAGCTTCCTTTGTGCACAGGCTGCACAGTCACCATGGAGAAAGCCAGAGAGGCTGAGCTGGAGAGATTGCACAGTGGCTAACAGCAGGAAGCTCTCCAAACACCCACATGTCAGGTCACATCCATGTGTAACTCCAGTTCTGAGAGATTCCATGCCCTGTGCTAACCTGTGCAGGCACTATACTCCAGGCAAAACACCTGTACACATTCATAAATCCAGTCCATTGCTGGTGTCTGTCAGGTTGTACAGACGGCCAGGTGTAGCTCTGTCTACTTCAATCTCATCTATCATGCATCGTACCAACACTCCCTGCCATCATTTCAAAGTGCAGCAGCATGAAAAGCACTTTGCAGCCCTGCGTACTGGTGCTGACCTGTGATCTCAGCTCTGGGAGACAAAGAGAGAGAGGGGGAGGGAGGGAGGGAAAAAGGGAGGGAGGGAAAGAGAGAGGGGGGGAGAGAGAGAGGGGGGGAGAGAGAGAGGAGAAAGGGAGGATCCAGAGAGGATCCAGAGTTCAAGGTCATCCTCAGCTACGTAGCTGAATGCCAGCCTGGGCTCAACATGACCTTGTCTCTAAAGAAAAAGACAAAACAAAAAACAAACCAGCCCAATGGTTCAGTGGGTAAAAGTGCTTTCCAGGTAAACCTAGACAACTGAGTTCTATCCTAAGAGCCCATGTCAGGACAGGAGGAGAAGCATCTCCATAAAAGTGTCTACTCACATGTGAGCACTCAATCACACATACACACAATTGCACTCACAAAATTTGTTTTAAGGCCAGGCGTTGGTGGCACACGCCTTTAATCCCAGCAGAGGCAGGCGGATATCTGTGAGTTCGAAGCCAACTTGGTCTACAGAGTGAGTGCCAGGATAGGCTCCAAAGCTACACAGAGAAACCCTGTCTCAAAAAACAAAACAAAACAAAAAACAAAAAAAATTGTTTTAAAAGTAAAAAATTTCAGAAGAGAAACACTCTTGAGTTAATTCTTTGTGTAACCATGCTGGTATGAAAAGACTTTTGTATCACGAATAATAAAATCCCAGAGACAGATATTGGGGTTCAAGCTGAAGATCAGAAAAGCAAAACAGCCAACCACTAGAGAGTTCTTACCTCTACCAGGGCTCACACCAAAGGGGTGATCCTGTCCTCAGTGTGACTGCAGACTGACTGACTCCAGTCTCCTCCAGCCTTACATTCCTGTCTAGTGCTGGTATTAAAGGCATGCACCACCACCATGGCTGACTAGTGTGGCTGCTGAGATTAAAAATGTGTGCCACCACTGCCTGGCCTCTATGGCTGGCTACTGTGGCTGGCTTTGCACTCTGATCTTCAGGCAAACTTTATTTGCTAGATCATAAACAAATATCACCACTTTCATTTCCTTTTGTAGACCTGAGGGCCTCTTGAATACTAAGTATGTATTCAAGACCTCTGAGCTACATCCCAAGTTCAGGACCTCTTGAAAGAGTGTTCTAAATTGGGGATTTTTTTTTTTTTGAGTGAAAGACAGGCAGACACTCTGTAGCTCAGGCTGGTTTATTACTCATATTCGGCCCCTATTGGTCTTGACCTCATAGCAATTCTTCTGCCTCAGCTTCCTAGTCGGGGAATTACAGACAAAAGACACCATATCCATGGGGTCAGAGGGGCTTCTGGCTGGCATGGGAACCCTGCAGACCTGTGGCCACTGTTGAGGGAATTGGATTTTACCAAGCAAGAGGAAGTGAGGGACTAAGCTGTAAGGGACAGGGAGGAACAGCTACGGTACACCAGGCCTTTTCTTCTGGGCCACCGACCAGCTCCCAAATCATGACACAGAGACTTATGGTTTTGAAGGCCCAGCCTATCTTAGGCATATTTCTGGCTAGCTCTTTTACCTTAAATTAACCTGTTTCTCTTTATCTACCTTTTGCCTCAGGGCTTCTTACCTTTCTTCCTTCTGTGTGTTTTACTTTCACTGCTCCTCTGTCTGCCTGGTTGATGTCTCCCTCATTCTCCCTCTTCTCTCTTGTTCTCCCTGTTTGAGCGGAGATTTCTCCGCCTATTACTGCCTGGTAGCCCCACCTATCCCTCTCCTGCCTAGCTACTGGCTTTTCAGCTTTTTCAGACCAATCAGGTGCCTTAGGTGGGCAAGGTGAAACAAATGTAACACACCTTTTCATAAACAAAAGTAACACCTTCGCACAGTTAAAGTAATAATCTGCAGCATAAACAAATGTAACACACCTTTGCCTAGTTAAAATATTATTCAACACCACAGATTAGTTTTAGCCCTTTAGAGTGTCCTGCTTCAACATCTGGGATTCCTTTTTTTTTTTTTTTTTTCCTTGTGCATGGGCGCTTTGCCTAAACGTTTGCTTGTGTACCTCATACATGACTGGTGCCTGTGGAGGCCAGATGAGGGTGTTGGGTCCCCTGGAACTGGAGTTACAGACTGTTGGAAGCTGCAGTGTGGATACTAAGAACTGAACCCTGGTCCTCTAGAAATGCAGCCATCTCTCCAGCACCAACATCTGAGAATCTTTTTTTTTGTTTGTTTGTTTTTTGAGACAGGGTTTCTCTGTGGCTTTGCAGCCTGTCCTGGAACTCGCTCTCGTAGACCAGGCTGGTCTCGAACTCACAGAGATCCACCTGCCTCTGCCTCACGAGTGCTGGGACTAAATGCATGCACCACTACTGCCCAGCCCATCTGGGATTCTTAATCCAGAGGCAGCAGTTCACAAAGCAGGACCTTTGCCTGGAATACTGCCCACTGCTACCCATAAAAGAGAATTCTCTGTGCTGGGATTATGTGAAATTCTATTATCTGTACACATCATGAAAGCAGAAAAGGACCCAGGCCTGAGCTGCAAAGCTTGAGTGGTCACCTCCCCTTTGACCTGTGGGAGCCTCCCTTTGTGGATGCACACATGGTCTGTACATCATAAAGACAGCAGCTCATCAAAACACTAGTATTGTTAGTCAGGCCATATGGCTGAGATTCTTAGTGGGGAAACACGAATTGCATAATACTTCTAATCAACCAAGAAGGCTTAAAGCATTAAACATATGCAGCAAAAGGCAGAAACCAACTTAGGGAACTCAAAGCTCCCACTAGAGAGTTTTGCGTTCCTGTTGCAAAGAATATTACACCAGCTAATATCTCTTTTGCTTTCTTGCTTTCTCAATTTCTTGACAGAATTGAGAACTGAATGAAAAAGCCATGATTTTAGAGACGCCTGCGATGGATTGGTTTGTTTCATCCTAGTAATGAGGTAGGCTACTAGGCAAGCGCTTTCAGGAGCCTGATTGTCGTCCTACAGAGCCTCATAAAGAAGTGTTGAGCCTCTGCACTCCAACTCAAGTTAACTGTGCTCAGTGTATGACTTGGGGGCTCTAACTGTTGTGTGTGACTTCCTATCATATCCGTTTCAGATGCTCAGTTCGAATAGCACACGCCAAGAGAATCCTAATGTTTCTTCCTTGGATGACACTGAGTCTACCTCTGAGGTCACTCAACAGCTCTTAACAAGCCGTGTAGACTTAGCTGATCATGAAAGCATGCCTATAACCCTAGTGGTGGGGAAGCAGAGACAGGGGGATTAGACTTTGAGGCCAGCCTGGTCAGGGGTAGCATATTCAGTAGCTAAAGAAGCTTGCTACCAAGCCTGACTTGAAGATGCCCAGATGAACTGGTTCTGGCAAGTTGTCCTCTGACCTCCACATATGTGCACCTCAACCTCATAAATAAATAGATTTTAAAAACATGTTTATAATACTGGGCTGGGTTCCAGATCCCTTCAGAAGGAAGAGCCAGTGAACAAAGGGGACTCATTGCTTTTGCTTTCCTTTTTTAAAACATAAATCGTGGCCATTCTGGGCTACACCTTTAAAAGGGGCAGTGGCTTCCCAGCACCCACACAGCAGACAATAACCATGTGTGACTCCAGAGGATCTGACGCCCTCTTCTGGCCTCCACAGGTAC